CATACCTGCTTCGTGTTCGTTTCCCTTTTACGCAAAGCGTATCGTGGTGGTCGCTAATGCATCGTTGATTCGACTTCAAACGAATAAGTTAAAAGGAATCCTCTTTAGACCTGGCACGCCTTAAACTGTACATTATTCGTATCTTGAACTCAACGCAAACGATTGGAAACACGTTTCACCGATAGTTGGCACTAACAGCTCCATTCTTGTATAATTTCATCGCGGAAATTCATATTTCAACCACAAAACGACGAAAGAACAAATTGGAATCAATCGGACGAAATAAAACTCAGGTCTAGAGAGGTTAAAAGAAGAAATTTTATCGTATTCGTACCATAACGAGTGCAACGCGCAGAATCTCATAGCCAGCGTTCGCTGTATGCACGACGAAATGTGAAAATCATAGCCTTAATGAAACTCCCGAAAAATCCTTAAAGACGTTTTCCCCACAATATATCTCTCACGAATGAATTATTACTAACGCCGTTACCGATAATGATATCGTTACATGATTTATTAGGTACAACTCGGTCGCGTGCAATTTTTTTTTCCTTTTTCTTTTTGATCGTTGCGCGAAACGTAGAGGACGCGTGCGACGCCGAAGGAGGGAAGAAACAAATCAACCGGTCAAACGATTTTTTTCCCTATTAGCTACGATGAGGCTAATCGTAAGTTTACGTACGAATGGACATACATAGGTAATTAGTGTTTACGTACTGCTATCAAAGACCGAAGTCGTTGAAATGTTTTATGGCGTGATATTTACACAGTCTCTATGCGTTATTTGGTGATGCGTGATCGGTGGAGGGGAAGAGAAACTCGAAAAAGCGTTAAGGCCCGTTTACATGGATCTTTCTCGGTTGATAACAACACGGTTACGAAGTATCAGTTGATTTGGACTGTCGGAAACGGTTGTCGGTTGGGAAGTATTTCTTTCTCTTAATGACTCTCGTTTTTCTTTCTTTCTTTTTCTCTTTAATAACGTGCTTTTCCTCGTTCGAGACACGCGTCGTTGCGAAAAAAACGCTATTT